GGCGGGGGGAGGCCGGAGTGCGGTGGGGCCGAGGGCTGAGGCGGCTCGCTGGGCCCTGGGGAAGAGGGTGAAGCCCGGCTGGGGAGGCAGCCCGAGGCCGGGGTGCGTGTCGGGATAAGATGAGGGGCTGTGGGAGCAGGAGGAGGGACAGGCAGCGGCGAGGCGGGGTGTACAGGGGGAGTAGCAGCCCAGGGGGAAGAGGGCTTTCCACCGCCTATGAGGTTTTCCACAGAGGCAGCACTTCACCGGAGTCACACCCCGTTCTCAGTCTTCGTTTTGCAGGTTGAACCGGGCGCATCATCCCAGCTAGACAGTGCTGGTTTCCCTCTTCATCCTAGTAGCCCCTCTCTGCACCTGTGCCACTCGTCTCCCATCTTGTGTGCGAGCCTTATGTGCAGCGTTGGAGATTAAATCTCGCCAAACCCTTCTTCAGTGAAAGAAAGGGAAATGTTTTGCTTTGTGCGTGGCTAAATTGTATTTGCTATTTTCACGGCCCCTGCCGGATGCTTTCTGGTTATCTTGTCAGGTTCTGATACGCTCCTGTCTGATAAGGATTTCTGAGATAACGTGTTTGTTTATTTCTTTATAAATGCAGGACGTTGCACTCCATAATCCCCAGTCTCATACTGATTTTTGTGATGTAATTCTCCCGTGTTTTCCTTCTGTATGTTACGTTTCTGATTTTCTGCCAAAAGTGTCTTCCTAATCATTGTGTCAAAGTCATTAAATTAAAACGTTAAATAAAAACTGATCCCAAGGGAGTTCACTGTAGATTTTCTTCCAGCCTCTACTTAACCTCCATCTTATATAAAATAAACATAAATGTCAGCATAGCACCGTATCAAGTGTTTAACAATGTCCAGATATGTGTAATCTAATCTAATGTATTTCTCCTTTTCCTGGAAAAATCACTGATTTTAAACATATCAAGTAAGTTTAGCAGGATTTTTCTTTGGGAAGCTAGCATTAGGCTTCATGTCATTTTCTGTTAAGCTTCATGTTTTTAATTATTCTTTTCTTAGAGCTTGTTTTAGAATATCACATGCTGCTGTGGTAAGAACAGCCTATAATTTGTTCTAAATACAGAATAAGATGCTGGGGCATGTTACCTTTTTGTCAGGCAAGTTGCAAAAGCTTGAATTTTGACTGCAGGGGATAATAGCTATGGAACAGATGTTTGGTATATTACAAGTGTTAACTATCAGATATTTTAAAATAATAGTTTATATCATTTGCTTAGTAATGGCTTCAGAAAATAACAAAAACAAGTTTTTGAGTATTTGATTTCATGTTCTGCCACTAGAAGGAGATAGATAAACAAAATTATGCGTAGAGAGCTTGTTCAACATTTCTGATAGATGTTTTCAATGAGCTAACTTTTAAAGCCGTGTGTAAATGTTAGTAACTTTAGTTAGTTGATCTTATGCGGTATGAGTAAATGTGTAGTAAACCCAGTCTTTTAATAGTTCTTAACTACTGGTTTCTATTTATTAAATTGCTGTATTTGGCAATTACATTTTTTGCACTAGGTCTTCCTGTCTTTTGATAAAATTTTTGTTGTTTTAAAAAAGTTCTGCATGAATAAAAGAATAAAGTCTCTACTCTGAATATGTATTTAAAAAATAATTGTCAGAACTGAGAGTGCTTCTGTAACATTATGTTAATACCATCATTCTCTTTTTGTAGATGGCAGACTTAACTAAAACTACAGAAAGCCCTTACAGGAACATAAATGTGTGCCAGATCAGCCTGTGTAAATCATAGACTGGCATGCGCTGCTGATGAAGGAGCAGGTACATTTGTGTGCTTTTATACCAGCCTAAGTGTCATGTAGTATCTGGGGTCATCTCGGTCTCCTAGTTATCATGAGTCAGGGCATGCAGTTGGATGATGGGAGATGTTTGATGCATTAGTGCCAAATGTATTTTAGGAGGCTACCTCATTGTCAGGCTAAACTTACCACTGGCATTAGTGATTTGCCTTGGTCTATCATATCCTGGCAAGAGTATTTCAACAACTTATCTCTTAAAACAGACTGTCCTCAGAGTCTGCCAGGGAGATTGAACTGCTTTATGAGATAAATATGGAAATATGTGTTTTGAGGGTCCAGGTTTTGGGTTTCTGAGGCCTCAGCTAACAATCCTGTCAGTGCTTAAACAGATTTATGTGTGCATGCTTGCAGAGCCAAGTACCTAGGTGGCATTAGGTCAATTTGAGTCAGTGACAACGAAATAGTAAATTTAACATAAATGATCGTGTTTGAGATCCATGTACGTAATACGTATGCACTAGTTTCAGTGGGTTCACTTGCAATTTAAGTGTATTAATGCATATTTTATTTTGGGCCCTGTAGCTTGCAAATTTTAGCTGTGGGAGTTCATAGATTAGAGACTTGGATTGTCTGTTCTAGCAAATAAACATTGCAGTTAAGGTACATGACAGGAAATTAGAGAAAGTTCACTGAAACACATAATGAATAAGTTCTGGCTTTCTACTTTGTCTCATTTTCCCATTTTCTTTTGATTTTTATCTTCATGCTTGGAATTCTTTCTCAATCCTTTTGCAGAAGGCAATTGCCCTTTCTCCATTCCCTCCTGAACACTTACTTGCTTTGTGAGGCCCTGGCACTAGTCTGTCTAAGTAAAAGGTTAAACGTTTTGTAAAAACACAGGGTAAGACAGAGTCTTTGCTTAAGTTCTTAAGTTTTGTCTGTCGCTTTAGACTGTGAGTGCCTCTGTTTGAAAACCTTTTGCATTATGTAGTGAAAAACCACAGAATTTAGTATTTAAAAAAATACAATAGATCATATGTGTGCATGTATGCACACACACTATATATAGTCTATGTATCTGTACTGTTTGCTGAATTGACT